TGATGTTACTAAAAGAATATTACATTATTCTGTGGTTTAAATAAGTATGCATGCAGTTACAAACATCCAACTTACAAATGACTCAGAATTAAGAACGGTCAGGCAACAGAAAGTGAGAGAAATCTACCCCTTGGAAGGGAAATTCACTCCTGAAACAAGTTATCAAGGAGAAAATGTGTCTCCACTGAAGCTTTATCAGCAGTCCTTGTTTCCACAGGATCCATTTTTTTTTCAAAATACAATTCTCAGAGGGACATAAAGTGTGGTTGTGGTGAAATCTTCTGAACAGGGACACAGACAGCAAAACAAACATCACAGAGGTGTTAACCATTCCCTATGTTATCCAAAGCTGTTGGATAGCAAAGTGTTGCCTGTAATGGGAACTGTTGCAGAGATGTGAATGATGTATTGTCTTTGTTTTCTAGTCTACCCCCCATCCGGATGCAGTACATCTCAAGTAGTTTTGTGGGCAGTGGATGGTTTCACCAAGCCTGGCTAATAACATACTCTTCTAATAGATAATCCTATGAAGTATGCTTCACATAATTTGGGCAGTCAAGTGGTTTAAGTTTTTGGTATCAAAGCCCATTCTGTAAAGTTCAAGATTTAATGTGAATTATGGCTGTAAGTCTAGAAGTGAATCTCTTCTTAGAAAAAAAAAAGCAAAGAAAAACAACGCTATTCTATAAACCCCTGTCTATTTAAACAAGATAGGACACCTTTCCCCAGAGGAAAGGTGAAACCAAAAAATTCTGAAACTAAAAAACCAAATGCATTCATTTATTTTCAACATTTATCCACTGCCCACTCAGCACAGTTCTCTGGCCAGCATCAAAAATTTTAGGCCTGCCTATCCTCTATATAGGTGTAAACTAAATAGAGCAAAAGCAGTGCTTAGTTTACATTTTTAAAAGGGGGGGGGGTAATCTTCGACCTGAAAGGGAAGCTTTCCACCAAATGGAAACAAGTAGTGATGTCAATTGAGCAATGAGTGTGATATAAAATTTAGTCTAATTTTTAAAGGCAATATCAGAAGTGATGAACCTAGTTCAGAGGATGGTAGTGGTAGGGTTCAGAACCTTGGAGAGCTCCTTTAAACATTAAACTAAAATCCAAAGTAGATTCATTCCTCACGAACATTGGAGCTCCCAGTCTTTACTATGGGAGCAATGCAAAGGAAAGCTGTTTGTAGTTTCCTAGCTCTGTCAGCTACCAAGAATCCTCCTCTTTGAATAGAGACATCATGTAGTTTTAGAAGCATCAACAATTGTAGGCAGTACACATTTGCTTGGTTTAAACCTGGAAGACAACAGAAAGCTACTAGTATTGTGTTCCCAATAGCATAGCTCATTTGCTGAGTCGCTTGTTGCAACCTGAGCCTCTGGGAGCAAGCGGAGCACCAACATGTCTCTGAGCTTGCAAGACCAAAGGAAGCTGAACGATATCATTGATGGGAGCCCCTATCATCACTGAGCTCCCTTGTGTGAGACCTGATTCAGTTGAAATTCAAGCACCAGGGATGCTTAGGAACAAATCCATTCATTCACTGAAATTTCAGCTTTACAGCTGCCTTGAAGCACATTGCAGAATACAGACTCCTCTTGTCAGTTCCGTTCCTCAGACAAGATGGCATTCTTTTTCCTTTACAAGGTGTGAACCACTTCAGTATTGTTGGAAGTTTTAAAGTTGCCTCAAAACAAGACTTTGATTAATGAACAAGGCATGCAACTGGCTTATTAAAGAGCTGTTTCTTTAAAACAAGTCTTAAAAGATGATCATAGAAAGGCAAAATGCCATCTTAATGATTGTTGTAAATGTGTTCTGTAATGGAGAGCTATTAGTGATAAATACGTGATTTTTCTTATGATATAAAAGCAAAGTGGATGGAAGAAATGTAGCAGCAACTGTAAGACTAACTGGTTTTTATTTTTGCATGACCTTTTGTGGATATAAACCTACTTTTTCAGATGACATTATTATTAAACAGAAGCGATCAAATAATAAGAGGAAATGAATGTTGTTGGATAGGGCATCCTTTAGCGGGCTCCCTGGTGGCACAGTAAGTTAGACCGAACTTGATTGAAAGGTTGGCAGTTCAAATCCGAGGACAGAGTGAGCTCCCTTGGTTGGGCCCGGTTTCTGCCAACCTAGCAGTTCGAAAACATGCAAATGTGAGTAGAGCAATAGGCACCGCTTCTGCGGAAAGATAACGGCGCTCCATGCAGTCATACTGGATACGTTACTTTGGAGGTGTCTACAGACAACACTGGCTCTTTGGCTTAAAAATGGAGATGAGCTCCACCCTTCAGAGTCAGACATGACTAGACTTAATGCCAGGAGAAACCTTTACCTTACCTTATCCTTTAGCTCTTCCTGTATCAGTCTAGTTCATATCATCCCTGGCCATTAATCATGCTGGCTAGGGCAGAAGGAATGTGGGGATATGCAGTTTTACCCCCCTATTTATTCACATTACACAAATTCACAGCACATTATAAGCCCAATAGAGTGCTAAGATTTTGTGGAGAAGCCTTTTGGCAACTACTCCCAGGATTTAGAGCTCCCTTTCTGGTCAAGCTTTTAGAAACTGACTGTGGTGGGCTTTTAATTGTGTGTTGTGCGGTTTTACGAGATGGACATAGTCTTTTAATGAATTTCAATGTTTTTAATTTTATAAATTGTTTATTTGTATTTTAAATAATATTTATATTCACAGCTTTTGTTCCTGTTCTTTTTAAAATATATTTTAAGCTGCTTTGAGTTGTCTTATTGAGAGAAAATCAGGAAATTAGTGAATAAAATAAAACAATACTTTGTACACAACTACAGTGTATATATTTCTGTACAATGTCTGTCATGAGGCAACTCAGTGCTCATAATGTATGTGCTTATCTGCGACTTTCCCTGTGTTTTTAAATTCCTTTTGCTTAAAAGTCATATCCAAGAAGTATAAGAAACATGATTGTGAGGGCTAGGAAGAATTATTTAGATGTTATTCATAAACATGTTTGTTCTCAAGACAGTCTGGAAGGGAAAAAAGCATCGCCTGTCACGGTTCTCTAGAAATGACGTTTTACTTCAAATTAGGTGATAAATCCTATACTACTGCCTTGAAAAGTGTCTGGCATAGACTCTTATATTATGACATAATTGTATGTGATACAAGTTTCTTGATGACAGGAGATATCTATTCTGAATTTCAATTGTCAGGTTCTCTAGCATTGTGCCATAATGAAAAGGTTACAGATTTCATCTTTGATTTGAAAGGGTGTGTGTGTGTCACAAAGGCATACAGACAGTCCCCAAGTTACGAACAATACCAGTTCTGTAGATTTGATCCTAAGATGAATTTGTTTGTAAATCGGAACAGGTACATTTTTTAAGTTTTGAAAAAAAAATGGCTTCCTGTGGAAACAAGGATTGGTGCTAAAGCTTTAGTGAAGACACCTTTTCTCCATGATAACCCTTTCAGGAGTGAATTTCTCTTCTGAGAGGTAGATTTCTCTCACTTCCTGTTGTCTCACCCCTGTAACTGTGAGTTGTTTGTAAGTCGGATATTTGTAACTGAGGAGCTGCCTTTATGCAGAAAAAAGAAAATAAGCAGTAAACTTAAAAAAACACATAATCACACCTTCTGGATTCTACAGTTCATAATGTTTTGCACACATATACACATACATTCATACACACAATCATACAACTGTCCATGTGATTAGGAGACCTTCCTCTGTTCAGACAATAAGCGTGATATTACTTTAGTAGTTTGTGCAGATTGTATAGCAGATTGGACTACTATTCCTTGTAAAAAGAAAGAAAAGACAAGGAAGCAATTTTGACTGACGTAATTCATCAGTTTATCTCAATGTCATTGGTGAGATACGAAAGCTATAGGTGCATGCATTTGTTCATTTTTGAGGTGGCTTTGGCTATAATGCATTGGTTTAATCAAAAACTAAAAATATTACAGATGTTATTTTCTTCCAATTCTAAATTATTTTATTGAACTTTTGATACATTGATTTATAAAGTAATTATCTATATTGGTACTTTGAATAATATTCACCTTCTCACACTGTTTTGTTGCATTAAGTGAGTGCCCTAATGAAAGGTTGTTCATTCATTCAGTCGTCTCCGACTCTTCGTGACCTCTTGGACCAGCCCACGCCAGAGCTCCCTGTCGGCCGTCACCACTCCCAGCTCCTTCAAGGAGCTAATGAAAAGGAGAGGACATAAAATAGCATAGTCATGACAATGCCAGGAACTCCTACTTTTAGGAGCCTCATATTTCCTTTCTCCCTCTATGACATTCCCCTTTATTCTCATTCCTTGTCTCTCTTCCTTTGTCTTCCAATATGGTGGGACTTAGCCATGTTTTCTACAGGTTTTGCTCTATAAATGAAAAATACAGACTAATTTTAGAGTCTTATTTCCTTTTAGCATGAAATATTTCCATCTACCTATGTATTAATACTAATTACAAATATCTCTGATCTTTATACATTTCTGCTTTTTTTTAAATAACACTGATATCTTGGCCTTTAAAGTGGGCCTGTTGGAAGACGTGTGCAGTGGCAGCTGGTATCTTCCAATTTGAACTGGTGAACCCAAATTTGGGCTTAATCAGAATTTTAGAAAGAACTATCCAAGTTGCTTGTCCCAAATAGGTTTGCATCTCTGATTTCATCTTTGAAGACCAAGGATGAATGTATTTCCCATGAAACAAGTTCGTGAAACTAGAAGTATATTCTTAGAAACCAAGAGTGGGTGTTAGTAACTACGTGAAATGGCAGTATATTGTGTGGGAAAGCATTTACTGGAAAGTCTACTATTGCCAAATGTCTGTAAATGTATGTGCAAAAGTGGACTTCTTATTCAGAATGGCTCTTGGAAAATCACAAAGGAAATCCTATAGCTGTAGATTCCCTACTGCCAGATTTCAAATGCCAGGAAGATGGAAGCATATTCAGTGCTTAACATTTTGCTTTTTTTTTCCTCACCAGGAAATATCAAAAGGGATCCAAAGTGCGCCTGAGACTTATTGACCTTGAACTCTCCTCTAGATTCTTGGGAGCAAAAACAGACACAACTTTACTGGAAGCCGACGCAGTACTCTTGGGACTTGTGGAAGGCAAAGAAAATAGACAAAAATAGCAAAGCCATAGATAATTACAAAAATGCAGTCCTGTATATATTCATTTGTGGTTACTTTTTAACAGAATAGATAGTTTATTTGATTTGTATACCATGCTCACTCTAAATATAAAAGATACTGTATTATCAAACCATTACTGTCTAACGGATGCAAATTTGGTTCTGTAATCCCACTTTTATTAGGGTATGTGATACCTATTTCTACTCCTATTAGGAATTTATGTTATTTTGATTTTATATTCCAAAGGACAGTACACTTTTCCAAACTGAATTGAAATATTACTATGAAATATTGACAGCATGTATTGCCTGGTAATATTCTGAGAAAGGTGTAACTTATAGTGCAAATGTGTTAATCATTTGAGCTTTCAGGGTGGTATCTGAAAACACAGAAGCTAGACACCAAATCCCAAAGTATACATTATGTTATTCACACTACTGAAAACACAGGCATTCTGACGACATTTGTTTTGAAGAAAATAAAAGTCTTTAATCCAGAACATGTTTTTCAAATTCCTTCACTGATTTCCTGTTAAAGATCGCCTCCATTTTGGCTGTTATAAGCACCACCAATCAGGACATATATTGATAGTTGTCGAAGGGTGTTTTCAGGAGTTAATTGTAGGTATGTTAGAACACAGCTGGGAAAAGTTACTTTCTAGATGACAACTTTCAAAAGTAATTTTTCCAGAGTTTACTTGGATGTTCCAGATTTGGCCCCACATGTTACCACACAATAAAACATTGTTTTCTTAAGAGTGTGAATAACAAAATAGAAGAGAAGATACTAAAACATTTAATATATGCTGGTTTTGAAGGAGTTGTGCCAGCACACTTCCATTCATTACAGTGAGATGTGCCCTGGTTATGTTCATGCTAGATCTTATGTCATATGAACATAATCATGCTGAATCATGTTTATCCTTTGGTTACGTATAAGTCAGTCTCAAAGCATAGCCAAATCTATACATCAGTTCTTCTAAGTCCTCTATTAGATATAAGTCTAGTGTTAAATCTTCAGTAGACTTGCATCATGAGATTTTTTCATGTTAGGAGCGACTTGAGAAACAGCAAGCCGCTTCTGGTGAGAGAGAATTGGCCATCTGCAAGGACATTGCCCAGGGGACACTCTGATGTTTTACCATCCTGTGAGAAGCTTCTCTCATGTCCCCACATGAGAAGCTGGAGCTGACAAATGGGAGCTCACCCTGTTCCCTGGATTCAAACCTCCAACCTTTCGGTCAGCAGTTGTGTGTCAGCAGAAGGGTTTAATCCAATGTGCCACCGTGGGCTCCACTGCATTGTGAGTAAGGGGAAAGCAAACAGATTTCAATGAAACAATGTAGATGTAAGCCAACCAGTTTTTAAGGGTGATTCTGACTTAAGCTCTGAAAAAATTAATAATAGAGATAGGACTGTAAAGTTTGCCTACTTTAAACTGAGCTCTTATCTCAGCGTTATTTATTAATAGAGATTAAACATGATCCCCCCCCCCCCCCCCAGAATGTTAGCCTCTGGTAAGACTCAAGTACAACCATCTAAATGGATACTTAGTTTTGAGAAAGCAGTGAATATTGCAAATAGAAATAAAAACAAACATCTTGAAATTGTATCAAAGACTTGTTTTTTTTTTTTGGCTTGATATCCGAAACAAAGAATAACTATGCATACGTAGATAAAAAGTTTGCTTTTGCTGAAAATTGCTGACAATATTGTCTGTTCTCTGGACTTTTTTGTGAAATGCAGAATGTTGATATTGCAGAATGTGAACTGATTCCAGTTGCGTATTGAATTATAAGTAATTATTTTGATCCATTCTTGCCTCCTTACAGAACCAATATATTGTACCTGATAAAAATAGGATGCATTTGAAAAATAAACTAAGTTCTTTCGTTGGTGTTACGATTGTTTTTTTTCCCCTTGGTCCAGTGATGCTACCAGTTTGTCTCAAAATCTTTCATGTCAGAGTGTATTTCATATAGACTCTCTACTATAGTGGGTAATTAAAATATATGTCCGTATAATAAAAAAAATCACCTACTGTATTTCTTCGCATAGTAGTCACCATCATAGCATAGTCGCACCCCCGTTTTTGGATCCGAGTTTTGATTTTTTTTTTGTCGTGTCAGGAGTTGCTCCTGTTGTGAGAGAATTGGCCGTCTGCAAGGACGTTGCCCAGGGGACGCCTGGACGATTTGATGTTTTTATCATCCTTGTGGGAGGCTTCTCTCATGTCCCCGCATGAGGAGCTGGAGCTGATAGAGGGAGCTCATCTGCCTCTCCCTGGATTTGAACCTGTGACCTGTCGGTCTTCAATCCTGCCGGCACAGAGCTTTAACCCATGTGCCACCGGGGGCTCCTATCCCCCTATCAAATCCCAGTTTTGATATTTAAGGATTACTCACATAATAATCACACCCTAGATTTAGGCAGCCTCCCTAATGTAAACGCCCATTTGCCTGCATAAAGACCCACCCATCCACCCACTTACCTTACTAGCCCATTTACCCATCCATTTGCCTACCCAAATATCCACTTCTCTATGCATGCACACACTCACTCACTCCTCAAGTTGTTTTCTACATAATTTTATTACAAAGTTATTCTTTTGGAACAAAAAAAAAAGCCTTTTCCCCCTTCGCGTAACAGTTGTACCTCCCTTTTTTTCAGAAAAGGGGATGCGACTATTATGCAATGAAATACTGTAACTTGAGCAAGTTCATATTGAAATGTTGCTTTCGAAATGATCTGAAAGTACCACAACCATCTGCAGTTAGTACAGACATTGCTTTTTTAACGTTCTGAATTATTTTGGACCATGTTGCCTGGAAAAAAAACCCAGAAGACCTGTTCTATACCAACCCATAAAATCATTTAGGGCATTTCACAGAGAGAGAAAGTATTTTCAGTAGTGGCTGCTCATCATCCAAAAAGAGGCAGATTTTGCCCTCTCCCTGTTTGCTTTTAAATGGGTTTTAAAGACCCATCAATTTTATTCTGCTTTTAGTTTTTATATATTGTAAACGGGTTTTTTAATCTCAACCATAATAATAATATTATCATTATCAAAGTATGGATTGTCGATGTTGCAATCCCCAGTGACAGCAGGATTGAAGAGAAACAACTGGAAAAGCTGACACGATACGAGGATTTAAAGATTGAACTGCAAAGACTTTGGCACAAGCCAGTAAAGATGGTCCCAGTGGTGATTGGCACACTGGGTGCAGTGCCTAAAGACCTTGGCCTGCACTTAAACTCAATCGGCGCTGACAAGATTACCATCTGCCAGCTGCAAAAGGCTACCCTCCTGGGATCTGCACACATTATTCGCTGATACATCACACAGTCCTAGACACTTGGGAAGTATCCAACGTGTGATCCAATACAACTGTGGATTCATCTTGTGTTTCTCATAATAATAATAATAATAATAATACCTTTATTTGTATACAGCCCTATCTCCCCAATGGGACTTAGGATGGTTTCCAACATGTAAGGCAAACATTCAGTTGCCAGAAAGAAACCAGACAATAAGCCACCTTGACAAACTTTATCTTGAAAGACGGCATACAAATTGTTGAGTAAATAAACCAATATTTACACAAAGTAAGCTGCATTTACGTGTCTGTAAATGATGTGTGTGTTCATATAATAATGTGCATGCATCTTTTACATGCCTGAAAAGAGTATGGGAAGGGGAGAAGGAGATAGGTTTCACTCAGTATCATAGTGATATCACTACCAAAGAAATCTTTTTATACCCTATTACGACTGATGAGAAATGGAAGGAAAATGATAATTTCTCACTGGCAAAGGGCTGTAGAGTGACTGTTATGAAAATATAACAATACAACAAAAGGACTACTTCAGAAAAAATGTTTTGTTCCTCTACATCACCTTGGTTTCCTGCATATTATCTCCTTTCTGTCGAAATGAGCCCCATTGGGTGAAAAAGGTGTGTCAGTATATGAAGCAGATTTACAAGATGGAAAATGGGCAAACTTTCCTTTTGATTCACACAGACACACACCCCATATACTAACAAACCACAAAATGTGCATAGATACCAATCCTGTTTCCCCCTCAGATCCATAGTTGTCTGGATGTGTTCTTTTCTTCTTAATTTTTTCACATGTATATTAGGGAGGCGGGGAAGTAAGGGAGGATTAATTTATGTTATTGTTAGTCACTTAATAGATTAGTTTAATAGATTTTAATAAAGTCTGATATATCATTTAAAAAAGAGAGCAGAGAAGAGAGCAGGTAAGAAACCTTTCAAAACATATTGCATTAAGTTCACTCTGTCCCAGCATTTTGTGTTATCCAGTCTATGGGGAGTCCCTTTTTCCCATCTGCTTTTGGAGAATCCTGCATTAGCCAATAGGGAGTGGAGATTTGATTTCACAAGGAGTCGTGGTGGTGCAATGGGTTAAACCTTTGTGCCGGCTGAACTGCTGATTTGAAGGTTGGTGGTTAAAATCCATGAGATGGGGTGAGCTCCCATCTGTCAGCTCCAGCTTCCTATGTGGGGACATGAGAGAAGCCTCCCACAGGATGGTAACACATCTGGGTGCCCCCTCTGCAGACAGCCAATTCTCTCACACAAGAAGCAACTTGCAGTTTCTCAAATCGCTTCTGACATGATAATTTTTTAAATTCGACATCAACTTTTGATTCCCAATATCTTCTGAGATACCTCCCAACTTAATTTGAAATTTTCCTTGTTCCTTCTGTATATTTTGTCTCGTAATTTTTGCCAGGGGTCCAATTTGTGGTGGCTCCTTCTGAGTTACTACTTCTTTTCATTGTGCATCATTTTCCATTTTTCCAGATTTATTTGGCTTCTCTTGTTCACTCATCTGGTCCTCTTCTTGTAATATCACATCCAAGAAAGAGAACAACTTTCTAAATGATCCAGGATAAATTCAAACTCTCCAGTAAATATAAATGTTCTCTAATGGGTCGCATTCAGATTGGGAATCACGTGAGAGCCTTTCACATCACAATAATAGTGCTATGATTCTGCTATAATTGCCTTGGCAATATTCTATGGCATCCTAACATTTTCATTGTACGGATTGATATTTATATTCTGACCAAAACTACAAACACTAGGATTTCATAGAACGTTGCCATGGCAGTGGAAATGCGTAGATTTGTTGTACTATAATTGTGCCATATGAAAATGTGCCCTTGAAATACCTTTGGACACATTTCAAAAATTACTGGGAGGCTTTGCTTTCATACCAAAGGATGCAGGGTTAAAGTATTGCTTCCGAGAGAGCGTTTCCTATAAGAATACAATGATAAACTATTAACCTAGCCATCAACTGGTACAGTTCCAAACAAAATAATAGAACACTAGCATAGCAAGCAAAACGTAAGGGTTTCATATGATTCAGTCTTATGATCCTACTTTATGGTGGAATATTAAATATCTTTTATCTCTCTCTTAAACAAGTAAATATTCAAAGTGCTCACATTGGAGCATTATATTTCATCCTTCCATTAATGGGCAATATGATTTATTTTTTCATTTATTTTTATTTATTTGCAATATTTGTATACCACCATTTTCAACCCCGAAGGGGACTCAGGACGGTTCACAGTGTTGACAACAATTCAATTTAGCAAACAACCTTTACATTTTGTTGAAGCAATTTCTTTCACACATACCAAATGCATTACATTCAGCACGTATCAACTCTGCCTTGCAATTTATCATACACACAAAAGGTAAAAGACCTATTTCAAATTGAAAGGTAAGCTTACTCTTTGTTTCATTTACCTTCAGCTTTATAGGATTACAATCTTGTTGTTTCTCAAACTCAGGGCCCTTCCAGACAGGCCCTCTATTCCAGGATCTGACCCCAGGTTTTCTGCTTTACACTGGATTAAATGAGTCCACACTGCCAGATAATCTGGGATAAACAGAAAATCTTGGATCATATCCTGGGATAAAGGGTCTGTCTAGAAGGACCCTTGGTCTTAATCCAAACTTTCAGGATTGCACTATGTGTCCTACTGGGTCTCAGTGTGTTTGTTTAAATACCTACAGATAGATACCATAGGTGACACTGAAGCTGACATGTAAATAAATTAATTTTGTATGTTGGATTTTGATCTGCATTATAGGGGGATTATCAAGGGAGGAGCCTGTCATCTTGAGATTTGTAACATTGGAGAATTGTTTTAAGCAGAAAACTTCCACCCTCAGCTGCAGTAACTATCTTATCTTCTTGGAAAGTAGTCACAGCCCAGCTCTACTGATTCTAATAAACCTTTCTTTAAAAAAGATAATTATTTCATACTTTTTTTTCTATCAGTGACAGCCTGTTATAAAATATGGGAACCAGTGTTCCAATTAGATATCTGGCCATTTCTTGCAGTTATATTTTCCCCTCCTTTGAGAGAGGGCTTATTGTTATAGCTATGGTATCAGGTCAATGCTGCACATGTTCCTGTTCAGTCTTTAACATTGCCAGTGGAAACCATCTAGAAGTAGGTAATATGAAAGAGCTCACCTGGAGACTAAAAAGAACCACTGCCAAAAAGATTAGATACTATTTGTTTAGACAGAGAAATCATCTCTATGTAAAAGAAATTCCTTATCTTTGAGTTGAGCAGTCTGTGTGGGGTGAGATGGGGGTTCATTTCAGCAGGAAGAACACAATGAAGGACGTGTACTTTTCTAATGTCATTTTCCTCCCCTCAAATTAAGCTGATATATGGCAAAGGAAGTGCATGGGATTTACTCACAGGTCAGCTTTAAAGCAGAAGGTCTCCATTATGTATTTCTGCTTTTTGTGTGTTGCTTTTTGAGATTGGCATCTGTGGTTAATTGCTTTAGCTTGACCAAACCAGTCAGTTATTCAGATTGGATTACTTTTTCTCTCTCT